GGTTACAGATATCTAAGCCCAACCGATCGTTGATAACCGTTAACCGTATCACAGGCCTAATTTTCAAAATCATCGTCTGTGGGATTCGAACTCTAGACCTGCCACTTGGGGGTGCAGCAACCCCACCACTTCACTAGGTCACCACACCCTCAATATTCTTTTTTCTAAAGATGCACTCTACATATTTACTATAAAGCTCCCATTTTTCCAAAGTTGTTTTATGATATAAAAAGACTCTACTTGTTGGTTTATCTTGATTTCTATTTTTGAGTTTTCCATATCTAAGTATTCTGCTTATTTCAATTTCTACACCAATCAACTTATAGTTACTACCTGTAATTATATTTATGTCTTTGATAAATATAATTACAGGTAGTGACTATAAGAGTGTATTTTTAAATTTCATAAAAAGTTTAAATCATTGTATTTAGAAATAAAATTATTTTTTTTCATACCTTTTACTAAAGTTTTCAATCATATACATATTATCTCTCAAGTTAAATAAGATATTCATTTTTCAAAGGTTTATAGCAAAGACCAATATTGAAATTTTACAACTCTAACCTAGAATTTGTGATTATAAAGCATTCTATCGATTTGTGGAAGTATTAAAGAAAATGAAAGATTTCATAAATAATATTTCAAACTTGTCAGGCTGGAAGAATTATATATTGGCAAATTTAGTTTATGAAACTTTTATACAATTGATTTCTGAATTCGATAAAAGCATAGATGATTTACATTTCATAATAACTTTCTAATAAACAATAAAAAAAATTAGACCAAGAAAACCTTAATTGTGACATTGAAGAAATGAAACAGATAAAATTTATAAATACTTTAAAATTTTGCACTATTACAAGTATTCAAGATATTTTTCTGAAGTAGGATCCATGTCTCGATGAAATTTTATTGGTGGAGCCATCATTGCAATTAGTGCTTGCTCGTCAAATGCATCTTTAATTTCTTTGGGTAGATTTGAAAAATCAATCACATATGATAATAAAAGATTATTATATTCTAGATTCATTATCATTTCCTTAGTAATACTATGACAAATTGTTTTGACAACATCATTTTTTATATTATTTTTATTCCTGAATATCCATTTTGAGGCATCTTTTTGATCCTATAAAGACCAAATATTAAACTAAAAATTGATACTATTATGGTCAATAATAATAAAGTACTAATACTTATAACCCTTATATTAGTAATAAATCTTTTCCAGAGAGATTTATCAAAGCTTGTTATCAGTATTAACTTATTTTCTAGGTCTTCAATATATTCTAAAGTACATAATACAAGCATTTTTTATCATATTTATGTAAGCTATGCATATATTTTTATTACTCTTTTTTCTATCTATCTTAAATTCAATATAAAGAAAATATTAATTATTTGTATAAAATACAATTATATTAAAGAAATAAAATATCTTCAGAGATACATATTTTTTAAAAGAGAGATATATCAAATCACAAAGTGTGAGTTAAACCTATCTATATATAAACATTAGTTTTAATGAATTCTGCAGATAAATTTGGTAGCATGTTTGCCATCAACATAAATGAGATTAAGTAAGAGCAGCTCAGCATGTGAAAAAAAATTTTTTGCTTCTACTTGTAAATCACTTTGCCAATGTTAATTTGATTAGTTTAATATTCACTTATCATTGATATAATAATAAAATATTAAAATATAAAGTAAAAATAACCTTACGAGTTTTATCAAACTCTTTTTGATATAGTCTCTAGTATGCATTGTTTCATAGTTTGTCAACTCTAAAAAAGAAATTATTTGTGCTTTGGTCATTAAAGTCTGATTATATTCCTTAAGCAAAGAGCCATGCAAAAAATTCAACTGCAAAAACTTTTCTTGGATCATAAATTCTAAAGAACTTGTCATATATATTTCCTGAATCTTTATTCTCAACCCTAATATCATTTATTTTAGTTCTCTTAGTAAGATTACTAAGTTTTATCCTTTTTATAATATTTAATGTTAGTATTTATATATAGAGAAAAATTTCATATATATATTTTCTTTATATACTAAATATCATATTTAAGTAATTCAAGGTAATATAAAACTAGATTTTTGAGATCTGAAACAGAAAGTAAATATATAAAAATGCAAGAAATGCAACTAGGAATGGAAATCTCGATAATTGAAGTATTTAAAAATAATCTAACATGCATATTTAATCATGTGATCTGTGATATATTAAGTCATGTGATTATAAATATAGTTAGTTCAAAGTACATACTAATCCTAAACTTAAAAATTGACTGCTTTAAAAAAATTAATTGAAATGTAATATATAATGTAATGAACTAAATAACTAAATCTTGACAAATCTCTTATTCATTTTTCTTTGTAATTTTACTAATTTTATTTCTAAGTCTGGAGGTTCAACATTATAAATAGATTTAATTATAAGCTAGCATTTAATTTTAAATTAAATATATTGTTTTTAACTTCAAGATATAAGAATGATTGTAGAATAAATATATATAGTCAAACCTTTCTAAATGTATTACGATGAAACTATACATAAAAACATGCATTTAGAGAGGTATTGAATTTAGAGAGGTTGCAATTGGGGTTTAACTGTATTTAATTTATAAATAAAATACTACATCAAAATACTTTTTATATTTAATATTTTATTTTTTTTAACTTAGATTTAACTAATAAAATATTTATTAAAAATATCATTGTATTGTATACTAGTTTTTTTGATTAAAAATTTAAAAATGTTGATATAATATATCTTTATAAAGTAGGTAATCTGTTAAATAAGATAAGTAAATTTATTTATTTTTTTTTTTAGTATTAAGGTAACCTTCTTGGCTTGCGGACTTTTTATTAGTAATCATTGGTTATTATAGTTACAATGAAGATACAACTAGCCACATGTGCACCTTTTGGGTGTCTATTTAAGTAGTCCGCTTGCAGGTTCTACACTAGATATTGTACCTATAACCCAACTAGAGAGTTACCCTTTTAAACCTTCTAATTCTAACTGTATTTATAACCTATTATACTAACCCAGAAACTACCATCTGGCCCATTCCTCTAGATTTTGCACCCTGCCTTAGGACTTTTGTGACTTATCTTGGGTTTGCACTGACTAATTACTAGCTTGTATTTTTCTGTAAAGTGGATACACAACTATCTATGAGGTAAACCTACCAAAGCTTTTCCTATCATATTTTGAGCCAATCTGGTTTTGTGTAGTTGCCAAGGCTCCCACTTGCAGTTGGGCTATTATGCATTTAACCACTTTTGCTCTTATAAGGTTCACTTTTTAATCCCAATACCCACATTCAGACCTTTTTTTTTTCTATTATTTTCTTATTAGTCTATCTTTTACTTCCAACTAATGACCCAGAAAATTTGACCTTGGCTTGGCATCAGGGATGGTAAATAACTTGAAATGACCCAAATGGCTCAAATGACTAGTGACTAGTCATTGGGTCATTTTATATTCAAATGACTATAGAAGGTCATTTAATATTTATTAACTGATAATCTAACGCTTTTTAACCAATTAACTTTGATTATTAGACATACTAGTAAAGTAATTTTTTATAAAATATTATCAATAATCGTAGCTATATATAAAAGTTAAATTTACTAATTTAAGTTGTTCTCTTAAACAACTTTACTAAAGATATAAATATTGATTAATCTAGTAAAATTTTGACTTTGGCATTTGATAACTTTTTATATTAGCTATCTGATCAATAAAATTACTTTATATGTAAATGATCTAAATAACCTAATAACCCAGATGACTAGGTCATTTACACAAATAACTTGGTCATTTAAATTTTGAATAAATGACCTGGTTATTTACCATCCCTAATTGGCATTAGGTGCCTAGTGCCCTCATCTCATCTTGGTATATGATTTCTCAGCATATGTCTTTTTTCTCTAGTTTGGTTGGCTAGTCCTCCAGACATGCCTGGCATTTTTCTATCTGACTGGTTTTTCCTGACTTCCATAGCCCCTGGTCTTGGTAGGTAGGGCCTCTACTACTGGTTTCCCACGCCAGCTGGCCAGGGTTGGTATACTCCATTACAGTCTCGCAGATTTTCAGCTTTTCTAAGTTGGTGGTCAGGTTGGTAAATCTCTCTACTAAAGGATCTTGTTGTCATTCGGTTCTCCAATTTCAGTCCTAACTTCCAAATTCAGATCTTTCCTGTAGCACTGTCAAAAATTATAGTTATTCCTTACTCGGGTTTTCCCAAATGGGTTTTGATCATCCCAGTTTCTTGGCATTTCTGCACCGAAGCTCCTATTCTAGATAGTGCAACCAAGATTACAGATTTCTAGATCCAACCGATTAATGGATAATCGTTACCTAATGCAAATCTATTTTTTGAAAAATGTTATCTGTGGGATTCGAACTCTAGACCTGCCGCTTGGTAGATAATGACTAGACCACTTCACTAGGCCGCCACACTCTCTAAAAGCTTAATTTGTGCAAAAACAAATAAATATAAATTATATACAAAAATAAGAGCTTAGACTAAAAGCTCAAACTAAGGTTTAAACTAATTATCTGTGATCTAAACCTACTAGAGTAGTCAAGACTCATCTAAATTTGAATAGTTAAGATATTGTTAGTAGGTGTGCTATATCTAATTTACATAGTAAACCAGATATTAAGTTTGGTAGATACTTGTTCTAGAGAAGAACAAGTATTGAATTCAGAATGTAGTTGGTCGGCAAAGCTACAAGGGTAGTTATAGGTATGTTTAGTTTTGCTTTTTTTATATAAAGAGGGTATAGATAAATTAGATATTGTATTAGAGATAGGTTAAGAAGAAATTTGATGTACTTTTTTCCAGTAAAAAAAGTTGATATAGTAGAGAATTTATAATTTGCAGTAAAATCAGTCAGAAATTTTAAGAAGTATTTGTATAATAAGTTAAGAAGTATTAGAATATAAGATGTCAAAAGAGTCTAGAGCCTGAATTAATAGTATTGGTATAAGACCTTTAAGTGTAGAATGAAGAAAGTAGGGGTAAAGAGATAAGGATAAAGAAATAAAAGAAAGATGTGAAGAGATAGTATATATGAGGTTGTAAAGTTGATATATAGAAAGATTAAGATTGGAGTTAAGGATAATTTCCTATATTAAGAAGTTAATAGTTTGACTTAGAATAGTATTGTCAGGGCAGATATACCAGTAAGAAGGAGTGTCTAAATAGTTACAAGAGAAGCAATTATCAAGTATAAAAGTAAAAAGATATATAGAATAGAAGTATGTATATGTTGGCAGTATATTAAGAAGCAATTTAATTTTGAAAGCTTTTAAGTGGTTTAATTTAGGGTTGGTAAAGTTGTATATGATTTTTTGATTGTTGTTGAAGTATAATCAAGAGGCTTTCCAGTTGATTAAGTAAAAAAAGGATAACCATTCTTGGGTACAGTGTTGTGAAGACTATAAGGCAATAGTGTATACTTTGCAAATTGTTTTAATAAATTGTCTAGTAGGGCTTTCAACAAAATATTCTTTCCATAGTAAATTAGAATATAGGTTATAAGAATTAGTATGATTAAAATATAAAATTAGAAAGGAGATGTGGTTGTTAGCAAGTAAGTCTGCAAGATTATTAAAGAAGTTATCAGAGTGTGCTTGAATTTTATAGAAAGAGATTTGTATATATATTAAGAAGTGTGTGCCAGATAGGCCAGGAGTTAAATTTAAAATATTTAGAGAAGTGTGATAATATAAATAGAAGTTTGTTATATTTGAAGATAATAGATTGTGAGTTTGTAAATATTTCAATGTTGGAGTTTCAAGTAAGTGTTAAAATAGCAGATAGTATTGCTAGTAGTTTAGCTTTATAGAAAGAAGGCCAGTTAGAGATCTGTGCAGAGAAATTGTAAATAACGTAGTTGTTATAAACTTGAATTTAGCCAATATCTATTAAGCATTGATTGGTATCAAGTTGTTTAACTGAACTATTTATGTAGAAGGTAAATTGGTTTTAGAATAAGTTAGCAGAAACAAACTAAGCAAGTTGTAGAGAGACATCATTGTTCTGAAAAATAGCTAAAATAATAGAATTAGTAATATTAATAGTAGATAGGGTAGTATGTTAAAAGGGCATTTAATATCAGTAGAGCAGATAAGATCTATATAATTAGCATTAAGATTGAGCTATTTGTTGGCTTTTTCTTTTCTAAAAATTAGGTAAAAAGAATAGCTGATACTTCTAAAGTACAACAGCTTGATATACTGTTGAAGTTAAAACTGCAACCTTGGCAAGGAGTGCAAGAGATAGAAGATA